AAGGAGATCTACTCCACAAAAGTTGCCAATGAAATAAACGTTTGAAACCAAACTGATCATTGTCAGGACCACCAATTACGTGAAGATGGGTTATCATTTAAGTTTCAACAAATATCATAATCATTTTGTGAAATAATATACTTTATTTTATATTGTATTTTATAAAATATGATATTTCAATTGAAAAATATATATGTTGAAAAATGGCTAGAAAATAAATAAAAAAAAATTAGCAATTTCGTCGTTTATCTGATAATCATTTGAGATTTAATTCAATTTTCTTTTCTAGAAAACAAATAAAAATAGTTTTTTAACCATACCAACTATAAATAGTAAATGTGAAAATATATTAAAAAAAGAAGAAGAAGAAGAAGAGAACAAATTAATCACATTTCAAGTGAACTCTGTAGTTCATATCATAATTAAATATTTAATAACATTTTACCTGTGAAATAAAATTTATTCATATCTGATTTTATCTTTTTTTTTTTCATCTTAACAATTTATCTTCTTTCTTCCCCCTTCTCAACACTGCCAACCTTGCTAATATCAACATTGTTGGACCTATCATTTATAGGTCATTGAAATCTAAGTACATGTCTCAATCTGCAAAAAACATATATTCATGCCTTAAATTGCTAAAGTTCAAAAGTTTTGTTTACTTGCAATTGAAGTGAATAACTTTATTTGTTTGGTTTTTATAAAACTATACAAAATCACAGATCAAAGAACTGTTCTTCCAACTTGAATTCGTCGAGCCCGGACTTATCGATTGGGCGCATGAAGAACTTTGCTATATAGTCTCGCGCTGTAAACTCCTTGTAGCGTGGGCAGTTATCTTCCGATATCAACTCTTTTATGGGCCCGTATATCCTTCCACTTAAAGCATCACCGGTAAAGAATCCTGCCACCGAGATTCTTGGCCCTACCCGGTTGGCAAGAACTCGGTGATCCGGGCTCACAAACTCGTCATTCGAAATGATCTGCACAAGTTGATAAATAATAAATTTACCACCAAAACAAAAACTAGAAAAGTACAAACTCCTTTTTGTCCTGTAAAAATTGAATTGTTCAAGGATTTATCATAATAATTGTCTCAAGATATAAATTTGCAGTTTTGTCCATAGAAACAAATTTAAAGGATGAATTTGGTAGCAAATGAACCTGCAGCATATCTCCAATGTTGACCACCAAGGCACCAGGCAGAGGTTGTACATTGATGTACTGATCCTGATGCAGGACTTGGAGGCCCCCGATTTGATCCTGCAAAAGAATTGTCAAAAAGGAAGGGTCCGTGTGCTTACTGGTGCCGATGGTTATGTCTGGCTGGGGACAAGCCGGGTAATAGTGCCCGATAAAAGTGCCATTCTTGCCACATTCCAGGGCTCTCAGGTGGTTTGGTTTGAGACCAAGTGCCTCTGATAATAACTCAAACAAGGTTTCTCCTAATTTTCCCACTTGTACCAGATACTTCATTGTCGAGTCCCTGATACAATATGAGGTGTTTTATGTGAAATTTTAGCCCCAAAAATTTCCTAAATTATCACATTCATATATATTATCTGTGGAGTTTTTTACAGAAACTACAAAATATATGCAGAACAATTGCTTTTTGGTTTGTACCTAAAGACTATCTCTCTATATCTATGGGATGGCCTTTGGAATAATCAAAATCATCTTTCAAATGGCTTTTCAATCAGCCAACATACAATATTTGTTGGCATATCACTCGTGCGTCGTCTCACATTGATTTGATAGGGTAAATGAACCTAGTTTATAAGTAAGTGAGCCAATCCTCTCATAACCAATTGGTTTTGGGACGAAACCTCGTTAAGGCTCACCCTCTTATAGTGCGCGCTTCACTATGTGGGAACGCACCCTTGATGTCCCGATTATCGAAAATTTGACAGTATTCCCCTTCCACCTTCACAATCACACTCGGATGCATTTCAACATCAATTAAAATAAAAAAAAAAAAAAAAAATCAGCTTTTACCTGCAGATTTCAGGCAACTCATCAGGCTCAACACTAGCAAAATTCGGCACTGAAATCGTCAACGAGTCCCTCCAGTTGGCCGCACGCGACCGATACAGATCGACATTGCTGCCGAATCTCACTCTCCGCGTCATATCGCGAGTGTTGAATTCCTTCTTCACCTCGCCGTCTTGTTCGTGGAACTTCCTTATCCCGTCCAGCATATTATCCAGGACTTCCCGGGATATCCCGTGATTGACGAGCTGGAAAAAGCCCCATTCGCTCGACGCCCTTTTCACTTCACCGACAATCTTCTCGCGCGCACAAGCGTCTTCGTTGACCCCACTGAGATCTATAACAGGGACTTGAAGGTTGGATTGGATGTGATTTTTCTCGTCGGCTAGCTCGTCCGGTGGCCTGATAAATATTCCGGGCACGGTTTGGATGCCGGAGTCGATCAAGCCTTTGACCCCTGTTTTTGTTTCTTCGAAGGCTTTTAGCTCGCTTAGGCGTGCTTGGTCTTGTGTAGATTCCGGCAAGGTCTGGTTGAGGCTGGACATGTTGTTCATGTTTTCTTGTTCTGGAGTTTCAGAAAATTATGGAGTAACTAGTGATATTTCTTTGGTTGGATTGTGTTAAAAGGAAGCGCTATCCAGATTATGATGATAGTGTTTCTTTTTCTTTTTTTTTTTTTCTTTTCTTTTATTTATTTTTGTTTTTTTTTTTTCTTTGAGTATGTTGGGTTCAAGTAAGAGAAAGGGAAGATAGGGGAAGGGAGGTGATATAAAATAATATTACTTTATTTGGAGGGATTTTGTAGGAGGTGAGGGGAGGGGAGGGAAAATAGTAAACCTTATTTGGTTGAAAAACGGAAGAGAAGAAAAATATTGTAAAAATGACAGTTATACCCTTATTGAAGTAAGAAACAAAAAAAATTAAAAATAATTCACATTAATGTCAAAAAAGTAATTTATTATTAAAAAATTTTCCTCCCCTCCAAATTCCTCCACTTTTGGAAGGGAGGGTATTTTCCCTTGGAGGAGGGATTTGAAAGGAAAATTCAAACTCCTCCCCTACAAAAAAATTGAACCAAACAAGAGAAAAATAAAAAATTCTCTTCCCTCTCTTCCCCTCCCCTCCGTTTCCCCCGAACCAAACATAGGCTAAGGTCAAAAGAGTGATTTATTGTTAAAAAAATTTCCTCCTCCAAATTCCTCTATTTTTGGAAGCGAGGGTATTTTCCCTTGGAGGAGAGGGATTTGAAAGGAAAATCCAAACCTCTCCCCCTACAAAAAATTGAACCAAATAAGGGAAAAATAAAAAATTTCCCCCCCCCTCCCTTCCGTTTACCCCCAACCAAACATAGGCTGAAAGACGAGCAGCCCAAAGATGGATAGTTAAGGAAAAACTACCCAAGGTTTGAGCTAATTACGAAGAGGCAGATAGGTATTTGAACATTTTAGTAAGTCATGAGATGTGATTTTTTTTATTGGAAACAATAAAGTTTATAGATAACAAAATACATAATTACAATTATAAAAGCATTTAGTAACATTTGACTACGTCAGTTATCCAGTTGAATTCACTGATAGACCTATAAGACGGAAACTCATGTAGTCGACAAACAACTACACTAAACGTATTCACATGACTAAGATATTACAATAATAAGCTTCCACAGTTGGAGAATTCGACCTCCAATCATAGAGACTAATTTCCCAAATAAACACAAACACAAACAAAGCAAAAAACACTAGAATAGTAGCATGGCTAGAATAAAACTCTCCCCACTAGCTGGCAAGTCACTTCGCAACAACACCATGAAACCGACACCAAGAGACGACCACTCACACGGATAGAAACTCAGCCCAAGTTGCAGATCCAAATACTCTAGTACATCTACGGCTAACTATATTATTAACAACTGAAATAGATTCCTCTTTTAAGTGGAACACACCCAGACCAGCAATCGGAGGCCCTCATCTCCTCCAACCCCAATACCGCTGGTGACCACGGGCCTAAACCACGACCAGAGTCCATCGACCCAGGGAAGAACGGGAAATGTGGGAAAAGAAAGCGTTGACCTCAGTCCTGATCACCACAACGGGACGATCGAAGCCGACCCTTCTATAGAAGCTTTGCTCCACGAACCCTGTCATGGTCGATCGAAAACAAACACTACGAAGTGGAGAATAGGACGATCCTACGAGAGACAAGTCATTTGGCCCGATGACGGACGACGTTGTGGCGGCGCTAATCCGCCGGATGAGAGGAGGTGCCTGGAATATGAAGAAGACGAGGGTTTTCGAATGAGAAATTTGAGATTTTTGGGAGAACATGAGTT